ATTGAATCAGAATATTTTTCATGTGTCATTAAAATGCTGTAACTGTCACCTTTGTTAGAAAGATCTACCTAGTGTAGTGCCAAACTCTGCTTTCAGTGTTTAGCAATCAGTTCTTTGATGAGACATATCAAGTCCAGAAAGAGAGAAATATATCTACAGTGCCACCACCTGCATCAATGGGACTGAATTAGGAGGAAGGCTAGGTTTACAGACAACTGGGAAATACATACGAAAGGCACACACTTCTATCTTTTCAAAGCAGTGAGTTACAGATTAATACAGAATTTGAACAGGGAAGAATGGAGGTTAAAACCACTTCCTGGAACAAACTTAGTTCTTGGAATTCTTTTGGCTCAAATGTGGGGTTATTATCGTAAAACTGGTCATGTAGTGCAACCCTGTACCGACTTCAAAGCGAAGAATCAACAAAGACGATCACTCTCAGACAGGAGAAAGGCTGTTCTGATGGAAGCCAAGTCAATAACAGGAATTTCATTGGTTTGCATAGAAAGGGAACCAGTAATTGAGAAAAGGGCTTTAACCAAAAGGATTTGAGTCCATTTGATTAAAAGTATTTTTAAAAGTCTCACATAAGCATCACGACTATTGGAGTCTCTGAGGTTTATGCACCACTAGTCATTTTCCAATTAACTGTGCATCCTAATGCCCCCATGCTAGCTCAATGGTTTCAGGCACTGGGGGTTTCCTTTCTTTTCAGAACAGATATTTAACACTGAAGCCTTAGGACTGTATTTACTATCATTTTTGTGAGCTTGGGTTTGCAAACTTTCAAAGACCTTGTATCTCTTCCAGGTCACCATTCTAACATCCGGTGGCTTCCATAAGTATATCTGAGATCTACTGATAGGTGTTCTTTCAACCCAATCTCAAAACAATTGACTTAATCTCTCTGTGTGTACTAGAGAATAACCAAGTGCAATAGTTAGCCTCAGCTCCTGTATCCCTGAAGATAAAATATCGCACACACTACTCAAAGACTATTTAACAGACAGCTATGATACATGCAATATGGGTGACAAACTGAGTCATAGTCCATTTAAAAAGAAGAGAGAATGTTTACTATAACAATTAATAATGTGGCTTTTTTTTTTTTTTGGTTTTTCGAGACAGGGTTTCTCGACCCCCAAGAGACCCCCCTGCCTCTGCCTCCCGAGTGCTGGGATTAAAGGCATGCACCACCAACGCCCAGCTAAGATTGTGACTTTTCAAAAGCAAAAAGGATAAGGAAACTTTCCAGATAAAGGGGCGCTAAAAAGAAATGATAACAGAATACCTCAGCTGACCCTAAATGGGGTCCTATATTCAGAGGACCCTTTACAGGAAAAGATCCCTTATGTGGTGAAGGATGGTTAAGTCAAATTACAAGATGGTTTCTAACCACAGGTTATATTGTATCTATGTAATTTTATGAAGTTGATAGCTGTCCTGTGGTTATGTGAGAATATCTCTATTCTTTGAAAATACATACTAAAGTATTTGTGAAAATGCTATGATGTCTATAAGTTTGTCTCAAATTATTCATAATTATATATATATATATAGCAAGAGCACATAAATCATAAAACAAGTGAGACAACTTTTCAAATTTATCTTGTTTTATGTGTTGTTTTGCCTTACATGTATGTCTGTGTGAGGTGCCAGATCCCCTGGAACTGGAGATACAGACAGTCATGAGCTGCCATGTGGGCACTGGGAATTTAACCCAGGTCCTCTGAAAGAGCAGCCAGTGCTTTTAACTGCTGAGTCATCTCTCCAGCCAGAGACAATTTTTTTTAATTGATAAATCTTGGCAAAGGGCAATGAGCATTCTTTGTATTATCTTACTTTATATATTTTTAAATATTAAATTAGTGTCAAAATGTCCTTTTGTGATGTAAGGTTAACCAAAGTAATTGAGACTAAACAATATTTTCTGTCATGTTCCCTTTATAGGAGATTCAGTACCTGGCACACATATCGAACTAGGTGTTAAAACTGCAAAGAAAGAGGGGTAAATGCACACTATCGTTGGTACATGGGCAGAATAATCCCATAAACGGACTTCATAATAGGATCATGGTCATCTCTAGCAGGGACAGAGGAGATTACATAGGAAAGACAGACTACAGATGTCAGAGTGCTGGCAACATTTTATTTTGCATTTGCATAAAGACAATATGGATACTGGTTGGGCCATTACTTAGCTGAAGCTTTACAGTTTCTGGTCTTCTTTGTGTGATTTCTTTTCCTAAAAGAATTAACGCAAGGGACACAGAGAGAAGCGGGGAGGGGAAAATAGGGAAGGGGAGGGAAACAAGAGAGGGAGAGAGGGCAGGAAAGATACAAGGTGCAGATCTGCCTTTGTGCTTTCTGCTGAGTGTTCTATTCCATTCTCGCCACTGATGCCCAAATCTCAGCGAATGCCCACGCCTTCTCCAAGCTGCCTGACATACTAGGAGCCAGAGCTTCAGACCTGTTAGACATCCTTTCTCTCTACAGGTGGTCACATTAACTCTAGAAACAGGTAACACATAGGAAGAGGCAAGATTGTTAAGGTCAGGTGGTCACATTAACTCTAGAAACAGGTAACACATAGGAAGAGGCAAGGTTGTTAAGGTTCAATCAACTTCAGCCCTGGACAAAGTCAAGGCAAGAGATAAACCATGCTGTGAAAAGGGAAAGACAAAGAACCAACAGTGACCCAAGCCAGATCTCCTGCATCTTCTTTGGTCTCTCTTCTCCTAGTGAGGGGCTTGATACAAGCTTGGAGAAGTATCTTATGGAAGTGGACACTGTCAGCACACCAGGACACACATGGTCACCTCCCCATCTGCGGCTGTACCGCCCACTCCCTGTCAGTTCCACCACGCAATGTCCCTCAGCTCCCAGGTGAGCAATCCTCACTCCTGCTCTATTGCACATGTGGTCATCTCCCTTGCCTCAGAGCTGCTCATCTGTCAGGTCACAGCTGGAAGTCTGCCTCACCCAACTACCCAAATGGAATGTTAGCCTGCCAACAGTTTCCTTCAGGGCCTTTGTTATTATTTCTTCTCGTTTGTGGAATCATTCACTTTCCCACCAGCCTGCAGTTCCTGGATACAGGGTACCACCTACTTGTTGAAACAGTTTCCCTCATTCCTCCCACCTGTCAGGGGTGAAGCACTACTGCACCAGCTGACTGGCGAATGAGTGAATGAATGACTCATTTGGCAATTAGTCTGTCTACCAGTTTCTAACTTCTACCCCACTGGTACCAAAATGATGAAAACAGTTGCTTTTAAGAATCCATTAAAAACTCTTCAGTTAACTACAGCAGGGTTTCAATAGAATTGGGATTGCCAAAAGCAGCAGGCTGATCTTCTTTCAATTGGCAGCTGGCTGCCTCGTAAACAGACACCTACATGCCCAATTAATCTTCTTCAAATAAATGAAAATGTAGTTTCTTTAGCCAATTATGGTTTTATGTGCTTTTATTCATCTATTGTGTGTATGTGTGGGGGGGGTGGTTGTGCAAGTGCCACAGTGGTGTGTGTCAGGAGGTCAGTGGACAACTTCCAGGAGTCAGTTCTCTCCTTCCCTCATGTGGATTGAGGTCCTCAGGCTCGGAAACAAGTGCTTTACCTATTGTGCCATCTTTCTATGACAGTAATTATATCTCTAATGCATATTTGAATAGATATGTAAACAAAAGAGGTGATTATCCAGACAAAGTGAGGGAAGGGAAAATGTAGTGTGGTGATATACTGTTTATGATTTATTAAAGCCTCTGGAGATCAAAATAGCAAAGTAGCCACTCAAGTTAGCTATAGAAGCCAGGCGGTGATGGTACACACCTTTAATCCCAGGACTCAGGATTAAGAGGTAGACAGATCTCTGTTAGATCAAGGCCACACCGAGTACACGAAATTGATCCAGTCCTAAAAGAAACAGCTCACACAAAGGTGATCTCAGCACCTGGGACATGCACCTTTAATCCCAGCATTAGGGAGGTGGAGACAGGAGTGATATGGCTGGGCAGAGAAAGGAATATAAGGAGGAGGAGGAACTGAGAGCCTTTTGCCTCTGAGGATTCGTGGAGACAGAATTGCCATTTCAGCTGGGTAGAGGTAAGATCTACTGGCTTGGGTACTTGGCTTCACTCCTCTTCAGCTTGAAGCTTGAACCCCAATATCAGTCTCTGGGTCTTTTATTTTTGTGTTACAATGTAGCTTATACTTTGGCCCTGAAAATCTCCAACAAACAAATATCATGAGCTCTCAAATGCTAATAAGAAAGGAAAGTAGAATATTCATCTAGGGTTAGAAGACCAGAAATTTATTGCTATTTAAGTTATCACCTATTCAGTCTTCCAAGCCTGATTTACTTCACTGATTTGCTGCAGGTTGCAAAAGTTTTACTGTGAAATCAGTAACTCCTTTAAAGGCTGTTCAAACTATGAAATTAAAATATTGTAATTGGAATCGTTTTTTAAAATATGATAGGCCAGGGGCTGGGAAGATAGCTCAGATGCCATACAAGCATGAGAACTGGAGTTTGGAACCCTGGGGTCTACATAGATTACTGGTGAGCACCAGTAATCCTGGGACCCAAAAGGCCGATGTAGGAGAATCTCTGGGATTTGCTGGCTAGCCAGATTAACTAAGTCAACAAATTCCAGGTTCAGTGAGAGATCCTGTCTCAAAAAGTAAGATAGAGAGGAATCAAGGAAGACAACTAAGGTCAATCAACCTATAGCTCCATAAACACACACACATACATACATACATACATACGTACATACATACATACATACATACATACATACATACACACAAGCATACACGCATACACGCATACACACACACACACACACACACACACACGTATTATTTGGATGTAAGATCTACCTTTGGGAAGCTTATACCTACTGTTCTTGTATCTGAAAAGAAAATAACTGTTTGAAAAGAGTTTTTGTGATTTTGAACATTTGTGTTTACAAAACCAGTTATAAGAAGAACTGCTAGAGTACAATCAACTTTTAATCCAAGAATTTGCCCTGTCAGAGTGGCGTTCACACACAGAGGTAACAACATGCAGAAGAATCTTGATTGCTCTCTGAAAACTGCTGTCTGGCCTTCTCTGCATACAGAGCTAATTGAAGAAAGGGGTTCAAACGAACCAAGTGAAGACTTATATTTTAATTTGTGCAAATGCATAAAGAAACCATGAAATTCATCTGTTCTGCATTGGGTGTTGCCCAAATCCCTAAAATTTTAAGTACTTGATGGCCAATGTTTCTTGAAATTATATGTATATGGCACACAGTTGGATGACAGGTGATCTGCTGACTGATTAGTTTCAAAAAAATGTATTTTCTGGCTTCAGTTTAAAGTTGTAATTGTGGAGATTTCTAAAATGTAGTCTTCCCTGGAAAGAAGAGGGATCCACTAGTTTTGGTTTCAACAACATCTGATATGCAGTCGAGCCAAATGGCAAAGTGAAGGTCGGTAAGATGACTCACTCATGGGACCACTTCAAACGCAGCCAAGCCAAATGTCAGAGTGAAGGTCGATAAGGTGGCTCACTAGTAGGACCATTTGAAGTCTCCTTGAAGCAGCCCAACAGCATCTGGACAGAATCCTGAACAACACATTTTGCACTAGAAGGGTACTCTTAGGCAGCACTTAATGATACCTTGAAAGCAACTAGAAAAATGACGCACTGAGACTTCTGTCTTCTGTGTTTCCAAGGTGTGGCACTCCGGGGTTTAGTTAGTAGGCCATGATTCAGAATCTAACCTAAGAAAGAAAACAAGTATTTTTACAAATAAATAATAGTAAAGAACTTGCCTACCATGTGCAAAGACCTTGGTTCAATCCTCAGAACTTAAAAAAACAAACAAACAAAAAACAACACTATTTTGAATTTTTTTATTTGAATTAGAAACAAGATTGCTTTACATGTCAATTCCAAATCCTTCTCCCTCCCTTCTTCCTATAATCCCTGCAAATAACACCCTACCTATCCCATATCCTTTTTGCTCCCCAGAGAGGGTGAGGCCTTCCATAGGGGGGGGGGTCTTCTGAGTCTGTCATATCCTACAGGATAGGGCCTAGGCCCATCTTGTGTGTCTAGGCTCAGGAAGTATCCTTCTATATGGGATGGGCTCCCATTCCTATGCTAGGGATAAGTACTGATCTACTACAAGGGGCCTCCTCACTGGCCCCTTTCCGAGGTCTCCTCACTGACACCCATATTCATGGGGTCTGGAGCAGTCCCATGCTGGTTTCCCAGCTATCAGTCTGGGGACCAAGAGCTCTCCCTTGTTCAGGTCAGCTGTTTCCTTGGGTTTCACCAGCCTGGTCTGGACCACTCTTCCTTCTCTGCAACTGATTGGAGATCAGCTCAGTGTTTAGCTGTGGGTGTATGCTTCTACTTCCACCAGCTGCTGGATGAAGGCTCTAGGATGGATATAAGTTAGTCTTCAATCTCATTATCAGGGGAGGGTATTTAAAGTAGCCTCTCCTCTGTTACTTATTAATTGTGGAACTCAGTGTCTGTGTTCCTAGTGTGATGTTCAGGAAGTGGTCTCCTGTACAAATTTGTTCAAGGGTATTTCCTACTTTCTCTTCTAATAAGTTCAGTGTGGCTGGATTTATGTTGAGGTCTTTCATCCATTTGGACTTAAGTTTTGTGCATGGCGATAGACATGGATCTATTTACAGCCTTCTACATGCCCGCATCCATTTATGCCAGCACCATTTGTTGAAGATGCTTTCGTTTTTTTAAGATTTTATTTATTAATTATGTATACAACATTCTGTCTCCATATATGCCTGCGCACCAGAAGAGGGCACCAGATCTCATTACAGATGGTTGTGAACCACCATGTGGTTGCTGGGAATTGAACTCATGACCTCTAGAAGAACAGCCAGTGCTCTTAACCTCTGAGCCATCTCTCGAGCCCGAAGATGCTTTCTTTATTCCACTATATAGCTTTAGCTGCTTTGTCAAAAATCAAGTGTTCATGGATGTGTGGGTAAATATCAGGGTTTTCAACTCGATTCCTTTGGTCTACCTGTCTATTTTTGTGCCAATATCAAGCTGTTTTCAGGACTATAGCTCTATAATAGAGCTTGAAGTCATGGATGGTGATGGCTCCAGAAGTTCTTTTTTCCCAACTTTTTTTTATTTGAATTAGAAACAGGATTGTTTTACATGACAATCCCAGTTCCCTTCTCCCACCCGTCCTCCCCTACCGCCCCCCCAACTAAAACCCTATCTGTCACATATCCTTTCTGCTCCCCCTAGATGGTGAGACCTTCCATAGGGTGTCATCGGTGTCTATTGTATCCTTTGGAATAGGGCCTAGACCCACCCCCGTGTGTCTTGGCTCAGGGAGTATCCTCTATATGGAATGGGCTCCCAAAGTCCACACCTATGCTAGGGATAAGTACTGGACTTCTACAGGAGGTACCATAGATTTCTGAGGTTTCCTCACAGAAACCCATGTTCCTGGGGTCTGGATCAGTCCCATGCTGGTATTCCAGCTATCAGACTGGGAAGCAACAGTTCCCGGATGTTCAGTGAGCTGTTTCTGTGGGTTTCACCAGCCTGATCTGGACCTCTGAGCTCTTCACTCGTCCTTCTCTACATCTGGGTTCCAATTTAGTACGGTGATTAGTTGTGGGTGTCTGCTTCTTACTTCCACCAGCAGCTGGATGAAGGCTATAGGATGGCATATAAGTCAGTCATCAATCTCACAATCAGGGGAGGGCATTTAAGGTAGCCTCTCCTCTGTTGCTTAGATTATTAGCTGGTGTCATCTTTGTAGATCTCCAGACATTTCCTTTATTGCCCAGGGTTGTTTTGGCTATCCTGGGTCTTTTTTTTTCCATATAAAGTTGAGAATTGTTTTTTCGAGGTCTGTGAAGAATTGCGCTGGGATTTTGATGGGGACTGCATTGAATCTGTAGAAAACCCACTTTTTAAATACTAAAGTCAGTAATACATTTGGTATGTGTAGTTAAATCCTTACATTCAATACTTTCAAAGTACAAAAATATCTGACTTAGCTCATCAAAGTGATCAAGTCAGTCATACAAGCTAAGTAAGTCTACTTAAAGACTCAGTCACATTGCTTATGCTTATTGCTTAAAAATTCTGCAAATCAAAGAAAATTTTTGTTTTTAATTAGTCTGTATCTGGATAGAGATGGGTGGTATTTTTCATGCTCTCAAAGGTACTGTTGCCATTGGTGGTGTGGGGCCTCAAGAATGTTGCCAGCATTTCAAAGACTCTCACATATCAACTATGACCCCCAGGTAAGATAAAAGCAGGCTAACTTAATAGTCAATATTCCTAAGCTTTGGGCCAGACTCGGTTCAGTACAGTATTAATCAAGAACTCACTGTAATCAAAAGTCTAGTTGGGAGTCTCATGTATCATTAGTTAACAAACATGTTTTTGAAAGCCCTAATGTTGTCTTTATCTCATAAATGTATAAGTTCCCAGACACTCTCATTTATCACAGCATTGCTATTCTGCTATAAAAAAAAGAGGGAGACAGAAGCTGGGTGCTCATCTGAAAGGAGTGATTAAGTACAGCATGTAAAACCATACTACACAACTGTAATAAAAGAAAAAATAGATGCATTTAAAATATAGAGTAAAGTAAACAGCTGGTGGAGAAACATGTCTGATCTAGATCCCATGTGCCTAACAGACTCGTGTAGTTTAAGCAGGTGTGGAGAGGAGGTGTGTGTATATGCTATGTATTTTCTCCGTTTAGCTTCAAAAGCATTAATAGAAAAAAAATTAAAAAAAAAAACAGGAAATTTCCTGTGCAGCTAGCAGCAGCTGGCAGGAAAGAGAAGTTAAGTACAGTTGCTGTAGCTTTTCATTTTATGTCCTTCAATAGCAGGGCTATAGAATTTGGATTATGGTCACTCATTACTTTGAAGTTTGTTTTTTCATTTCTTAGTAAATGTAAGGGAGTTGGTTGTTTGACAAACTTCTCCAGACATAGAAGCAATATGGAATCAAAAACCGAAGTAACTGAGCGTTGAACTTGGCATGGACATGACCTTCTGCTACACATATATAGTGTGCCCCTTCCCTCTACCTGCCAGTGATGAGCTCTGCTTCTCATCGCCAGAAATCCTCATCGTGCAGCAACTCTTTTCTGCAGCACTGAAAATACTGCAAGCTGGTAGCAAAGTGGTATAATCATCTTAGAGTGCATGTGGAACTCCTGGGACACTGGAACCTTCCAGAGACTTAGAAGCAGTTGTACCTGGAAAGGAAACTGCTATGAAACTCCATGAATAACTAAGCATCTATGCCATTCCTACCAAAACAAACACAGATCCGGGATCAGCTCCATCCTCTGGAGCCAGCTCCCTACTCTACCATAGCCCAGCCCAAAGCATGAAAGAGAACTTCATTACTCTGGCATATTATGACCCTGAGTACCCAAATCTTTTGCTTGACAAAGATAGTCTCCCCTAAAAGATGAGTCTCCATCATGCCCTGCAAAGATATGGTTTCTGGAGCAGTTCAGGATGGCTTGTTCAGAGTTCAAAATGAGGCTCAATGGTGCACTCAGAGAAGAAGGGGGCATTGCAGAGCCTCTTCTAACCCCATCTCACACTCAGTCTAAGTCTTTTACTCCAGGTTTCTTCAGAATGGCAGTGCCATGTATTATGTTTATACTATTTGCATCTAAGCTAAGCAAGTGTGAGTCTATGCCACTGGCTGGATACTCAGTTGAGAGGAAAGCTCCATCACATGAGGGGCATGGAGACATGAGAAGATAGATTGAGAAAGGAAAGAGGAGGCAAACAAGGAGAACATAAAGCAAACCTTCTTCCCTATCTTTGCCAACACTCACCCTGCAGTGCAGCAAGGGTCTTGAGGAAACCAGGTGAACACAATGTTCAGTTGGAACACACAAGCTTAATTACACAAACTCCAAGTGGTTGGTTGCACTTAATTACATAACCTCCAAATAGTTGAGGTTCTTGCACTGGAGGGTAAATTTGATGTCAACACAGAGGTTTTTGTTTATTCTGTTTTGTTTTGTTTTGTTTTGTTTGACACTTCTACATGTCTGTTGCCTAGATAAGTGGTACCCAAAGCTGTGCATGGAACACAGCTACATGGATCTCTTAGGAGTATCTGCTCTGACCAGGATTACTGTAGTCTTTCCAAGGCATCATAATTTTTGAAACTGAAAAAGAATGTATGAGAACTCATTAATAATTCTCATACTGATTTTTGTGGAACTAGTACTCTCATACATCAGGCTAAGTGAAATATTATTTAAATTAATTTTAGCTGCCTCTCTAAAAATTTAGAACTATCTGTAAACCCAATATTCTATTCCTATTGGGCAGCTTTGACCTAGACTTTGTCTGACCCACTATAGCCAACCAACGCTCATTTAAAGGGGACATAGGCACAAACGCTATTCTCTTGGCCATGATATTGGAACTTGCTGAGTCTCTTTCTATTTTTATCATAGCTGTGAGAATCAAAATATCTATCCCATGGGACTTATAATGACTAAATGAAATAGTCCTGCCCAAAGGCAAAAACACTACCCAAAAATATGTTTCTAGTATTTAAAGTGTGTTGAAGACTTGAAGAATGGGGAAAACAGTGCAACTGAATAATCCCCTAATTGTTGGGGCAGTCCTATTATCAGAACATGTAAACACTGAGAACAACTACCATGAAAAATGAGATTAATGCCCTCAAACCACATTCATTATCCATCTTACACACTCAAAGAGCAGACCTCAGCAGAAAACAAAGGGACTGCCCAAGTTATCATGGAAAATCAGATTCCCCTGACAGCTTAGTGAAAATTGGTGGGTGGTTTGGGGGAGGTGGAGGGAGCAGTAAGTGATCTCTTGGTTTACTGAAGTCCATTTTCATGTCAAGGGAGAAAAGAATGTCTTCAAATGGAAAAAGGAGGTAAGGATAATGAATTTTTCTAAGTCAAATTAAGTCAAGACGATGCAAACTGACTAAAGACACATCACAGCTGTTTTGACTAATGCTACCAAGAGTAATTACATTCTCAACTCTCTCTAATGAAATTAAAATACTTAATTTGGGTGGTGGGGAGACAGGACAATACTCAGCAGTCTCTTTTCTTATTCCAGGCCTAGGCTATTCAAACATCAGTGCTTAAGGTGGACAAAAATGTGCCTAATTTGCAGTCTAGTTTGTATCCCATAAAGTTCAAGGAAAAGTGGCTTTTAATCTTATTTCATGCTGAAAATTTAGTCAAATGAGCCCAATTCTTAAACACTAGCTTTCTTTAAGGTGTGCCTCAAAAGCTAGGTCTGGATCTTATTGTGGTGTTAGAAGGTTGGTTCTTTCTTCTCTTGGTTACTCATGTCTGTACGAGACCTAGCAATGTCGTGAGACATTTTTTGTCACCAGATGGAGGGAGTGTGCTACTGGCATTTCATGGATAGATATTAAAGGCCTCACTAAATATCCTACAAAGCAAATCATACCACAGTTGGGAGACACTTTGCTAAAATAAAAGGAGGTCTGTAAAATGTTTCCTAGGTTGGTTTTTCTTCTTAAGTGTTTTTGTTCTTTGCATAACAAAAGGTCAAAGAGAACTGAGTAATTACTTGCTGTATCTTTGGACACATGACTGCAGTCTATGAAAGCACAAATGTTCCCCTTATAATGAATAACATAACTCCTTATAGAAAAATTTAATCATCAATCAATCAACTAAATGCAAGTCAATAGACGAGATGCAAACCGACTACAGAAAATAATGCTGCTTTGACTGAGACTACCAAGAGTAATCATATATAAAAATGACTACATAAGAATTTACCAAGGGGAAAAAGCACTGTTGGAAGAAATCTAATATAACTGAAGCACATTTTATAAGAAAGCCACTTTTCTGTGTGTTATCCAAGGCATATTAACTCATTGAGCCTCTGGAATCTCAGGGAACTGCCCTATGGACTTCAGAGGACATAAAAATAGAAAACCCTGTTGTTACAACCTGCGGGAGTTCAAGAACTATCTCTTCAATTAAAATCTAGGTGGCCTTGAATCATAGAAAATAAGAATCCAGACTTTGGAATCATCAAAGGATAAAACAAAGATTGGAATCAAGGCGTTCCCTGGGAGAGCAGCTTAATCCTCTGAACCTCACATTTCTCCAGTATGAAGTGAGGATGGTAACACCCCTGTAGGTTGGCTGAGAAGATTGTGTGGGATTAAGTATGCGACTGTCTAGCATGGTGCCTGCACCAAGCAGTTACTCTTTAAATACCACTTGCCTCTGAAGTCCCCCGATGGTGCTTTCTTAACTACAACTAAGCAATCATTGGCTAGGTGACATGAAAGGAGAGACTTCCTAGAGGTTTCAGAGAAGCATTTTTGAAAGCAAAAAACAAACTCAAAGCAGACAAACAAATACATCCTTTACTCTAAGTGGCTAGGAGCCTGTTTACAATACTGATGGATGGCTCGCATTAGAAGAACAATGAGGTTTTGATGAGGAGACCTTCCCAGTTGAAAGGGACACCACTCAAAGCTACAAGATATTAATACTGTATCAGTGATATAAGACATAACCTGGAATTTTAGAATTTGATGCTATGGATGAGCAGAAGTCCACAGCTAGTGATTGATGTCCTTTAAATTAAAATTCATTTCTTAAAATCATATAAATTCTATAGCACAGCCACAGATACCCCAGAATCTGAATTATAGATTTAGATTTTTTAAAACTATATATATATATTTTTAAAACAGATATCCATCTTAATTTCATGGGCAGTACCATCAGACAACGTACTTCTTTTGAAAAATTCTTAAATCCATATTTGCCTTTGCTATCATCCTGTAAGATAAATATGTCTCCAATATTTCCAGGAAATTATAATCAGAAATGTATAGGAACATATAAGAAGGAATTAATATCCCATGTTGTTGGCAAGACTATAAAGTCAATTTGGAGGCCTGGACTACAGACTACCAGCAACGTCAGGCCTGGCCGCCTCCATCTTCCATCATTTCTGGTCCTATATTTTCTCATCACATCACTAATTGCACTTTCGTACTTTTTAGCACCTAGTCAACTAAGATAAGTAATCCACACTATACGTCACATATCTACAACCCAAAATGTAGCCAACGGCAACACTGGGGTGACACTGACATGACAAAGCACAGAAAGGATGCTCTGTGCACTGAGAGCAGAGGTCCCATCAGGTGGGCGGGAAAACAGAGGGAGCTTTCCAAGTAGGCATGGACATATGCGCAGCCTTTTGACAAGAGGCACAGAGAAGGGAGATCTGCAGGAGATTAGAGAACAGAATACTTGAAGGCAATTTCAGGGACCTCAGAGGAAAAATTTGGCTGGAGCACGGGCTCCAAGTTTCCAGGAAAAGTGGTAGATTAACATGGAAAGTTAGATTGATTCCATATTGTAAAAGCATTTGAATGACTGGGTGAGGAGCTTGCATTTAATTATGTAAGCACTGTGGAAACTTGGTGAAGTGGGGGAGACCAGTTCAAATTTCTACAGCTCTCAGAGCAGTGAGATAGTCCTGCCTGTCTCTCCCATTGAATTCTACCAGTAGCTCTTGATATATTGGTTGTTCGTGCTGATTGATCTCCGCATTCCTTGACAACAAAAATGGTATCAAATTTTGTCCTCAAATAGATAACAAAAAAATCAATGGCAAGATTGTGCTGCACATCATACACTATACACCCACAAAGGTCTCCGGAATAAATACAAGCAGATTCTAGGGTGGAAGGTTGAGCTAAGGAGGTGGTCTTAGAAGGGGACAAATGTGGGAGGGAAAGGTTATGTGCAGTCCTGATTGACTGGGTCAGAAGCAGTGGGGAAGAAACTATAAACAGGACTTTGAGGTTTTGCTTCAGGTAGAAGGGCTGGGACACTGTGAATGGGTACAAATCCAAACTAGATTGAGTATTTTGGGAGAATCATTACAGGGTATATCATACATTCTCTGAAGGAGGAAAAAACACGGTTTTCTAAAATTGTTCTTTGATAAAGCCAAAATCTGATTATTGTCTTGGGGAGTCAGGATAATTTATCTTTGTACCAGTGCGACAACTGAAGAATACAGAGACTATCAAAGAGGACCAGTGCACAAACAGTACTCCTCAGTACAATATGCCAGAAAACCGACTTGACTTAACCATGTGCCAAGCATAGCCAAAAGATGCTTTTCAGTGCTTGAATGAATGAGTAGATAGATTGTATATGAGTGAGGG